ACCACGATTATCGAGAAAAAACCAATGAGCACACCCTTGATTTTTGAGCGGCTTTGGCGTGGTTTTTTGGTTTCGGCTCGTTTTTTCCCCATCATTTAGGTGATTGTTGAATTGTCTTCATATCATACTCATAACCTCATATCTCATCGGCAGTTATAGTGTTCACCATGAGTGTGGGATCGGAACTCCCAAAAATCAAGCATGTCCAAATAGATCTGTTCACGGTACTCTTTTGGAAAAAAATTAGCTTTACCTGGCCAAGTTGAGCAAGAACGCATTCATACCCAAAATCATTCGAACGGACTCGCGAGAGATGTCGGAACCTTCTTGTCATCTCTTTAACACTTGCATTCTAATGATTTCAAGCACCATATCCTTTACTTTAATATTTTCATCAGTTGAAGAAGTCGAAGTTCCGAAAGTCCAGAACGAGGCAAGTCTTCAACAATCTCTCGACAATCTTCGAAAGCATTGTAGCTTTTGTTTTTGATAAAACTGAATCACCGTAAGCCTTTTGCAATATTTGCAACGATTCCGCAAACGAAATTTTGTTAGAAATACAAAATTTGCGACAAGTTATTATTTCGATATTTTTAACCATTGTAAAAATCGCGCTCAAATTTGTCAGAATAATGAAGGACAATCCTTCCAACTTACCTAAATGCATTTCTTTGAAATATCATATACCCAGGTCATTTAATTACAATTTCCGGGTGCTTTTTTGTCACTTGTATATACTCGTAGGTGTTTAGTACGCAGAGAAAATTGTGTGAAAATATCACATTTTCAACCAACTGCCCGAGAAAATTAAGCGTCTGAATAGAACCCGGTAGGTTTTGGGTCACACCCCAACACTTGTAGATGTAAAAGTTATAGCAGAGCGGGGTTCACTTTTTTCGAATTTCGGATTGTGTTTTAAATGTGGGGAGACTCACAGCTGGCAACTTCTCATGATAGCTAAAAACCATAAGTGTCTGAATAAATACTTAAATACGAATAGATCATTAGCTTATCTTTCCGACACCATTTATAGTAGCCATGCTAGTACATATAGTCTTCATCGACTTCCTTGAACATACATAGACTTTAGCGCAATCTGTTTTAATTGTAACTGCCAGTTTTCTTAAATTTTTTATTTTTTATTTTTTTTTAATAATTTCAGCTGCTTCTTTACTTTCGGCCATGGATACGTCGGCGGACCCTTGTACGAACTTTTTTCAATACGCTTGTGGTACGTGGAATAAGATACATATCATACCCGAAGATCGCAGTTCGATAAGCACATTCGAGGTGAGTAAACAGTTCACGATCACCGCTTTAAAAAAATAATTTAATATTCAAAATAAATACGTCTTCTAAATTTTCTATTTAAAAAATCAGATATTCATTTATATACATACATATGTATATGTATATGTATGTTCATATTTTCATAAATATTTTCAGGTTTTGTCCGACGAACAGCAAGTGGTGTTGAAGGGCGTACTAGAGGAGTCCATTAAAGTCGACGACAACAAAGCCACCATCAAAGCTAAACAGTTTTATAAAAGCTGTATGGATTTACGTAAGTTGAGCACAGTTGTTGCGTTCCCTTGCACTAGTGAAATTCAGCTGTATAACTACATCTTCTAACATCTTCAATTCCTCTCCTACGGTTTAGCTCAGATTCGCAAAATTGGCGAGGGTCGCTTAAAGGAGGTGCTCCAGTCGCTTGGCGGTTGGCCAGTGATCACACCGAATTGGCAGCCGCCCAATATGACCATCGAGCAATTAATGGGACTTATACGTGGTAATTATAGTGAGCCGGTGCTAGTCGAGCTATATGTGGGCGCCGACGATAAGAATTCTTCCGCTAACATCTTACAAATCGATCAACTACAGCTGGCGCTGCCATCACGCGATTACTACCTGAAACCGAGCAGTGAAAATGATTTGAAGGCCTACCATAAGTATATGACGCAAACTGCAATACTACTGGGTGCTGATCCCGTGACTGCAACGCATGAGCTAGATGACGTGTTGCAATTTGAAATTAAACTAGTGAACGCTTCACTGCCCGAAGCGGATCGACACGACACGAGCGCTATCTACACGAAACTCACTTTGCCTGAGTTGCAAGCTCAAGTGCCGCAACTGAATTGGACAGTTTTTCTAAAAACCGTACTAGGACCCGATATCGAATTGTTGCCGGATGAGGTGCTGGTCAGCTACGCCATGCCATATCTCGTGGAAATGGGTAAGATTCTAGAGAATGCCGATCGCCGCGTGGTACACAACTACGTCATTTGGCGTTTGGTGATGTCAATAATGGCACACATGATCGACGAGTATCAACGCGAACGCATTGAATTCCGTAAAATACTGCTGGGTGTACAATCGGAACGCATGCGTTGGTCTCAGTGCGTTGAATGGACAAATAAAAAACTGGGCTTGGCGGTGGGCGCGCTCTTCATACGGGACAACTTCAATCAGGAAAGCAAGGATACGGCCCTTGAAATGATACACACACTGAGGGAGGCATTCAATGAGTTATTAACGGAAAATCACTGGATGGACGACGAGACGCGCGCGGTGGCTAGAGAAAAGGCGAACGCTATGAACGAACGCATCGGTTATCCGGAAATTCTCAATAATGCAACGGAGCTGGAGAAAGAGTACGAAAATGTGAGTTTGTGAGTATATACAAACATGCGGTAGTGATAAAAATTATTTGAAAAAGCTGTAATTTAAGTTTCAACCATTATTCTATGATAACCCCAAATTTTTGTATGTTTATGCTACATTTCTTTGTTTTTATTTTTACCTTAAGCTCACAATCGTCCCTGATAATTTCATGGAGAATGTGCTTAACATACTGAAATGGGATTCGGACAAAAATTTACAGCTGTTACATCAGCCAGTCGATAAGGAGAAGTGGACGACGGAACCGGCCGTGGTAAATGCCTTCTATAACCCAAACAAAAACGATATCGGTACGCTCTACTTGAAGTTCATATTGAAGCAAATCTCTTATTGCTTTTATTTTACAGTTTTCCCGGCAGGGATATTCCAACCACTATTTTATAGCAACAACTATCCGAAATCGGTTAACTACGGTGGAATCGGTGTCGTGATCGGACATGAAATAACCCATGGTTTCGACGATAAAGGTAAGGGAAATTTTTAAAAAATCAAAATATCTTTTTTTTTATTATTTTTAAAGCGCAATTTTCAATACTTTGTATGTAGCAAGATCAGTATTGTTCAAAACTTTGACATCTTTCCCAACTCTAAGATATCTCAATACTATTAACACTTTTTATTATCCATCACAGGACGGCAGTTCGACAAGGACGGCAACATGATGCAATGGTGGAACAATGCCACCATTGAAGCTTTCCGCGAACGTACACAATGCATCATCGATCAGTACTCTCGTTATAAGATTGAAGAGGTGGGCATGTATGTGAACGGTCGCATGACGCAAGGTGAAAACATAGCGGATAATGGTGGACTTAAGCAGGCTTTTCGGGTAGGCAACACTTTTTCCATGATAATTTGAAAAACAATAAATATAATGATTTTTCCACAACACATAAAGGCCTACAAGAAGTGGGTTAAGCGGCATGGACCCGAACCGGAGTTACCAGGTCTAAATCTCACGCACGACCAACTATTCTTCTTGAACTACGCACAAATCTGGTGCGGCTCTATGCGTCCCGAAGACGCCGTCACGAAGATACGCTCTTCGGTGCACTCACCCGGTTTCATACGCGTACTCGCGCCACTCTCGAACTCAAAAGACTTTGCCGAAGCGTACAAGTGCAAACTCGGCTCTCCGATGAATCCCGTAGAAAAGTGTAGCGTGTGGTAGAAAGTTCGCTATCTAGTACATGCACGTACTAACAAACTAACTTTATTAAATATATATATATACATATGTACATATATATACATATGTAATTTATATAAGCATAAAAAAGCTATTAAATGAGAATGTATACAATAAATTTGATTGGGTAGCACAGTGTAATAATGCCAAGGCATATAAATATTCAAAGCAGTTTGCTTGCAGAATAGAATTAGTATCTAATGATTTTATTTTTTTATAAATGTTTTAAAGCATTATTGAACTTCGTATATATACGAGGATAAAATAAAAAAAGAGAATGTTAAGTTGAGTGAGTAAAATTAACAAGAATTAGGCAAATATCGTACGTCAACACACACACGTAACAAGCTAAGATACAAAACATAACAAACCCTCATTTGCGAATTTGTATAACGCAAATACATACACACATACATACATTGCTCTAACCATTCATACATATGTACATACATTTGGTATGTATGCCTACAAGTGTACATACATACAATTAAATACGGCACAATTCAATACAAAAAATTAAGATATAATTATGAAGTCGTGCACAGCGCAGATAAAAAAAAAGAAAAAACAACAAACCTATACATGTATATGTGTAAAGATAAAAATGCATTCACACACAAACAAACTATGTACTTAGTATATTGATAACAAACACAAAAGAATAAAAAATGACACAATATCGTAATTTCACAAACGTAACGGCGAGTTGTTTTCTTTGTTTCCAGCATTGTAATGCAAAAGTTTGCAAATTTTGCCTCAGCCTTAGTGTTGAGCAAGAGTATATGGATGAGAACACGAGTTGAAATTGTTTTAAAATTTTTCTTTTTATATCAAATCTTTTATACTTAGGGCAAAATGCAACAGGTGGTGCCGTTATTTTTCTAACTAGGCGAAGTTTTACAGTTTTTATAAATGTATGCATTTATGGCCCTGCTTTGCCACTACAAAGGGGTAATATCACCTTGAAACACAGCGAAACGGCAGAACTTAATTCTTCAAAATTCGTTGTTCAGTTGAAGTTGCCAAATTATTCTCATTTGCAGATAAAGAAGTTATTTGAAATTATTGAATCCAGTTTTATATGTTTTTTTTTAAAGAGCACATTCTCACTTTATTAACAGCATAAATTATTTTTTCGTTTATAACTTATATAGAATAACTGGAATGATTTATCGTTATCAACAGTTATAAAGGAACAAGTATTCTTACATAATTTAAAAGAAAAAGTAATATATAGTTTACAGTGAGTTTTCAATTCCAATTTTTCTCCTTAATGAATGATGGAAACGATTACAACGTAAAATTATACCACAGTCTTTATATAAATAATTTCAACACATACAAATTTAGAACTTTAAAAGTTGAGCACTACTACTTAATTGGTAGTTATAGTTTTTTTCTTTTCGTGTAATTTTTGGTATTATATTGGTCATTTATATCTACACAGCTTGTAGAACCCCTTCGTTAAAATGGAAATATTAAATTATCACACATTTGCGTAGGTACTCAAGAAATAATAGCATCCATTCGTATATCACGGAATTGTCGACAATTTAACCAAATGCCGATTTGAGACATCAATTTAGGAGCGTATGGTGTGGGCTGTAGTAGGACGCGGGTTGCGTGACCAACTCTGTTCAGTGGCGCTAGCGAATATTAAATATATGAAATTTCCACCGATATTTACAGCTGCCGCCAGCCAGAATACAATGCGCCATCGTGCCAGTGTCTCATGATGGTTTATGATTACGCCAATTACATACGGTGCTAAGAAGCCGCATATGTTGGCCGCCGAGTTAGTTAGGCCATACATAGTGCCCGCATAGCGTGGACTTAGCGCAATATGATTCATTTGATTGCCTGCGTATACTGCGCCACCAAAGGAACCAACACCGGCCAACATTACTGTAACCCAAACCCAACTGCAGCCCACGTAAGCTGTGGCTAAAAGTCCGATCGATGGTATAATCGACGCTATTGAATTCCATAATTTATACGAGTTGAGTAGAGAAATATAGCGTTGTTCCAACATCCAATCGGCCAAACCGGAACACAGAATGCCCACAATCCAGCTCGTGAAGTAAGGTATTGCGTTTAACATTGCATTCGATTGGATGTCAAAGTGCAGAATATTACTCATATAGGTGGGTAGTTCTGTCAATTGTGTATAAAAGGCCCAACTTTGTCCGCATTGTGTTATTAAGATTGCCCATAACGGCAGTGATGTGAAAATGGAACTCCATGGTATCTCCTCATTCGTTGTCTGTATCACATCATTTTCGTTTTCGGTCAACAATTCGGTATAATTGCGTGGTTGCATTGAACGAATACTACGCTCTATGTAATCACGCTCCTTGTAAGATATACGCGGATGTACGCTTGGCTTGTCGTACACGAGATACATCCAAAATAAAAACCATACTATGCCAAGTAAGCCAAATATATAAAATGCTGAGGGCCAACCGCCAAGAAACTCCAAAGAGCAGAGCCATCCTGCTAGTGGCATTGAGATCACTGTACCTATGTTCGAACCAGCATATACAATGGCGGCGAATTTATTCCGCTCCAGTGGTGGAATCCAGTGCGCTAACATTGCATGCATTGCTGGATAAGTGACACCTTCGCCCATACCTTCTAATACACGAACAAGCACTAGCATTGGTAGACTCCAATATGCAGCGATAGGTGTTAGTAGTGTAAAAATTGCAGTTATCAATACACCATAGCCATAAATAAGTTTTCCACCCATTACCTCTGCTAAACGACCGCCAGGTACTTGCGTCAGCACATAACCGTAAAAGAACGATCCTAAAACTAAACCCTGAGTGGCCTCATCCCACAAAAAATCTCCCTCCTTCGACGGAGTGGTAGTATTACTTGGTGTTGGTACTGGGCACGTATCATCGACGCTTGAGGAATTGTCTTGAGGTATTGCTGTTTGATTCACCATAGCCACAATAGCTACAGACAAATTAACACGCATTGCATAAACTACTGCAAAACCAAGGAAACCCATTATACCGAAGATATGACGGGCTTTAGGAAATTCGCCATCATCTATAATTGAAAAAAAAACAGTTTAGATTTAACAATAGACACGTTTTCAATACGTATTTTGTTCGATATATGCACATTTTAGTATATGTGTCTATGAGTAATAACCTTCAACTCCACCAATAAGAGGCGTATCTACAGAGCTCCCTTCATTTGTGTCGGAAACTTCACTATCTTCATTACTGTTCGCTGCTCTGCGATTGCTGTCTGGGTCATTATGGAAAGTGCTGTCGTCATCATCGTAATCTTCCGCTGCATAATTTCGAACAAATCCAGCACTTTCATCAACGTCTACAGCAGTAGCGACGCCACGCGAGTTCTTTGTGCGAAACATATTCAGCTTATCACCACTCGACTAATTAAAACTTATCAAATTATAATTTAGAAATTAACAAACATGTTACACACAATCAGCTTACGAACTTGACTAAATTCAATGAACACGAATGAAATTTTGTTTAGAATAAAAAAATCAACAGAAAAGAGAAAGGAAAACTAGTTGAATAGCAATAACAGCTGATACTGCAGAGTTGCCAAACACCCATTCATTATTTCGCTCTGTGTAACAACTTTTATAAGTCTATTTTTATAAAGTTAGTATAAAATAAGCACAAATCTGATTAACTATGTTTTAAAATAAATTTGAATTGGGAGTTACCATAATTCTGCATATAAGTAGAGGTATAAAATTTTTAACACACCAATTTCTGATTTCTTTTTTTATAACCATAGATTTATACAAAATTTATTTATATTTGTGGATCGTTAAAAGTTAATTACAAAATTACAAAAAACAACAGCAATTACAAATACCATATCCAAGGCAACATCAGAGCTGCCATCATGTGGCTCGCATATCTTTTAGTTGGTAATAGCGGTTCCAATTGGGAATACAATATTTTTCCTTCCATTCTTTAATATTAGTGTTTCGTAGTGATAATTGTTTTCAACCAATGCACAAGATCCGTTACTAGAAGATGAAGAAGATTTTTGCAATGGTTCCAAAGATATTTGATGACAGTCAATAAACACATTATCGCAAGCAATCTTTAATGCTATTTCGTAGGCACTTGCATGATGACCTGTCCAAATGGATACGTTAACGGCTTTTAACGTTTCTTTTCCACACAAGCTAATGGCTTCCTGTACAGTGCGAAAAGTGTGTAACGTGACAATTCCATTGTAACCGGTTCCCAGATGCTCATGGGTCACGTCGCAAACCAACACCGGTGAATTGTCTCCCAACTCGTCAATAGAAATGGTCTCCCAGCTGTGTTCGTTTATCAAAGCCAAAGCTCTATTTCGTTGTACGTCCTGCGCAACTTCAGCCGAAATCGCTTTGAGTTGCGGCTGTAAGCGCTCCAAAAATGGTTTACGGATCGACTCAGCCACTAGCACAGTAGTTATAACTTCAGCAGCTAAAGGGGACTGCAATGATTGTGCTAAATGATAAGCGGCAGCATTTAGATCCGCTTTATCACCAACTATTAAAATTGTTGGTGTGCATTTGCAACCAACGTCAGCCATTCCAGACACTTTTTCACTTTGCACAAAGGAATCACGATCGTATTCGATATTATTAAGCATATGCTGGGTGATTTTAATGTCTGGCATTCCTGAAGTATATTGTAAAAACTTAATAATTTATAAATATTAAAAATAATAGCTAATACCGGAACACCCACGGACAAAGTACAAAACTAATTGGAGTGAGATATATCACCAATTACTATTCTGATAAGACGCAATCTGTCAAATGACAAGTAAACTCCGTTGTTTATAATTCATTGTGAATAAATTAATATCCTAATATGAGGTCTGCACGCAACTTGATGTACAACAAATGGTTATTATGTTATTGAAAACATCTGAATTCAGAAAATATAAATTGTGCAAAGAATCTTTGAATAATGTTGCACGAAGTTTGTTTGACATTTACGAGACAAGAACCCTTCACAACAGCAAAACACCTCAAAATATCCAGAATACAAACTAATTTAAGAATAAAATTCTTCCAGTGTATGATGAATAATTATTATTATTGTTTGGCAACGCCGCATTTGCTAATGAATTCCGTGATTACGACATTTCTCAACGAGAAATTTCAGAATCTAGTTGGACTTCCTCGCGTAAAGGCTAATTTATTTCATTCTAGTGCTATTTGGAATTGTTCTATTACGTACGAAAATATATTATTTATTAGCGATAGATTCTGCGCATTGTATGTAAAGAGCGCAAATAAACGGCACATTAAGAAATTTACGAGTATACACCTGTAGCTGGTTTGAGTGCAAACATATTCTGCGGTCTCAGCGCGCGCGTGAGAAAAAAGAAAGTGGAGCAATATCCAAATAATTGCAAAAATATAAACAGCTGTTGCTCTTTCGAGATTACTTATCGAGAGTGTTACGCTGATTAAAAAGTTTGAGATAAACTAGATCAGAATTTTTTGACTAACACGCAAGCAGAATGGCTGACATAAACGAATTATTGGGATCATCATTTGTGCGAGTTAAGGTAAGTAATGTGTGTATGCATGTATGAAATTTCAACAACAAAATTCGCTAATAACGCCCAAAATGAGCTCTTCGTAAGCACAGCTCCATTTTTTCGCAAGTACTGAGCCGTTAAAATACTGAGTTTTATTTGTTGTTGTTACAGATGAAAGGATGTAATTTACCTCTTTAAATGTTATTTCTTTATTGTGATAAGAAGTTATCAATGTATAATTTAACTCTGTATATACTAAAAAATGCATCATCGAATTGTAAATACATACCTATTCCCGTACATGTGGATATTTATAGTATATGTTGTAGAGGCAATAACATTAGAAAGAGGCGTAACCTTATCAGTAAACGTACTTTTGTTTGGGTTTATTTTTCAAATTTTGTTGATTTGAGTACGTATTTAAATCATCAACAATTAAATGTGCTTGTCCATAAGCGGTGACTCAATCGCATTCATTCAATGCAATGAATTGAATAACATTGTGGTGCAGACCACAACGACCGTTAAAGGCCCCCTGCATTGCAATCACCTACGATTATTATTTGTGTTGATGCTCTCTTGCGGCTTTGCTTGTGCATGAAATCGCAGCCACAAACATTTAATACATAGTCGTTCTAGACATTCAATAGTTTGAAATGCAAATTTCTCAACCCTCATTGCACATGAAGTTTCAATTCACATACTTATATGCATGTGTGGAAATACATACAACTTGCTTGAATTTGAATGGCTTCACCACGGATTTCAGTTCATACGTCTCCTAGGTTTAAATGTAACCGAAGTTTTATCTCTAAAGCTTACTTAATTTCACGTTTATTTTACAGCTGGTCGCTTTCGTGCACTTCTTCTTCATCACAAATGCTATGCTCGGTACCTGGGGTCATGGAGCTTATGAGTTTTACAATTTCCTATTTATGATTGCCATGTTCTGGACAATACATTGCAAGGAATCCATTGAAGCAGCACAAGTGGTAAGTACGAAGTGGTCCACCTTATATGTATGTACGTAAGTATGCTAGTAAGATTCTGATCAGGTACACTTTAAGACACTATGTACACTATATGTATATATGTATATATATATTATATTATTTATTAAATATATATTTAATAAATATATATATATAATAAATATATATTTATTATAATAAATATCGTTGTTAGGCAAATCACTTCAATATGTGACGTGTCACGCGTGTGAATTAGAGCTCAGGCGAGGACACATTAGTTTCAATTTTGTTTCGATAGAATGTATTTTACAACTATTCAATAAAAGCAAATTTTTTTAATTCATAATAATCGCACCGTACGAAATGTAAAAAAAACATGAGTATTGTTGGATTTCATTACGTTTTATTTAAGCTTCTAAGGTATTTGCTTACAACAAAACCAACAACTAAAATTCCTACAATTGTTCTAGTAAAGTCATTAGTCGATAACGTAAGGTTATTTCTCAGTTATTTACTTGCATATAAACAAAGCAATACTCAATTACTATTACACTACTCAAACAATTCGCAACGAGACAACGTATTAGTATGTATGTAAAGTGTAGCATCTCTAGCTGTACTTCCATTGAAATACAATGATTGAATTACATGCGTAAGTGTGTATTTATAGATGTACATAATGTGTAATACACATTTGGGTAGCCTAGTGTTGCGCAGGTGATAACAACTTGGTGTTAATAAAGACTTGTTGTAACGTGAACTTCCAACTTTAAAATTTTAACTTTAAAGATATTGTTTAGCTAAGCATTTTTGGAAGACAATATGTATATATACATATGCATATGTATACTTATGTACATAAGAAATCAATCGCTTTACTCGTGCTCAGTTTATATCGTTTGAAAATTAAGCATGTATTTTACATGTAAATTGCTTTCATTAATGCCTTTGCATAATCTCTAATAAAATTACTCGAAAATAGCTTTAATTAATGAAATAGCGAAGTATTATTCCGCTCTGGGTTACTATTGTTATCGATTTTTGTTTGTGTGAAGTATTAAAGGTGCTAGAGAAATATTCAAATGGTCAACCTTTCTTCCTTCTGAAACCCCCTAACTATTGTGGTATCGCATTCTTTGACCGTCGACTGGCTTGTGAAATGCTAATAAATTCAAAAGAAAATCGCTAACATTGCGTGTTGCGCACTTTGCTTTTGGTAACCGACGCTAAAAATCCTTACACCACTTGTACCTAGTGTAAGGGAGCTACATGTCCCTAGTAGTGTAAGGGAAGACGTATTGCAGGGCGACCAACAAAAGTGACTTTCGTTTTCTTAAATTAATGAAGTCAGTCAAACACGCAATAGTATATATGTATATGTATATAAAGTGTGACTGTATTTATTGCCGCCCCTCTTGAACGCTGTGCTCGTTACCATTACTACTTTTGAATTTGAATACAACCAAAGTGACGAGCAAGCGTATTTGTGGAGCATAAAATTTCACACGTAAGCACAATGACGTGGTGTTGCATACATACATATGGACATAAACACGCAAGTAATTGTATCACTTACAGTATTAGCTATGACGACAACGTCTCTGTAGCGTCTAAGCATGCTCACTCCATTTATAGCTTAAGTGCGAGTAATTATATACCAAAATCAATTTATATTTTACTTTTACCGCTTATAAACTTAAAATTTAAATATTTCGTTTTCTTGCTTAATTTGTAGCCAAATGTGGAAGTCGTTTGTAGCGCTGGTTTAAGCACCATGCCATGCCAAGCAAACATTAGACTCTTAATATTTGTTTAAAAATGCCATTATCACATATTATTATAGTGTGCCTTCCTCTCTCTTAGATTCAACATTTTTATCATATTTGGTTAATCTGTTTTGTTTAATTTGAGACTGCCCCAAAAAAACATAAATACATATAATATCATTACGGTAAGACAGAAATATTTTTTATGTTCATAAAGTATAACAATAAAATGCATTCCTAATAAATAAATATAATAGAGTTAGTAATTAAAAGTTCTAAATTTTACTTTTGAGCTTCCAGACAGCTACATACCTATGAATTGCTTGCTACGTCTCAATAAGTACATATTTGTGGACTATTATAAGTTAATTTTTTTGTATAGAAAATATTTTTATAAATAAATTTTGATTGATGATAGAAATAACGCAAAGTAATTTGTATTTATCGCCACAATTCATTATAAGGTTAGAATGTAGTGATCTGTACAGTTTACAAAACTTACTTCGACAAACATTCAAAGTTTGCAATTTTCACTTCCTTTTGCTTGCAGGCGCTCGTCATCAATGTTTCCAGCATATTCTTCGATTTAATAAACATTATAGTCTACTTCGATTTCATGAGTAAGTTTACAAACCAATATATGCATATGTGACCAACCTTTTAAAACATAAAATTAAACATCTTATTAACTTTTAGATGGTTGGGCAGTCGCCTTCTCTATCATCAATTTAGTACTACGACCAATAACTGTCATATTACTGTATCGTGAGTTCAATTCCCGCGGCGGCAGCCTACAAACCGGTTCTGTCTTCCCCACCACGCAACAGCGCACCTATCAGGACATCGATCGGCCAACTCAGCCAACGCCCACAAACTCGCAGCCTGGCCCAAATGTCGCTAGTATTTTCTAAACACATTGTTAACATTGGCGGGTCGCTGATACATTTCAGAAAAACAACTGAAAATCTTCGGCATAATTCAGTTAATTTGCTATTTATTATATGAAAAGTGGAAGCAGCGAAAAAGTATGTGTAAAATTGTAAAATCTGAAAACTTCCGTGTAACAAAATTTCTAACATTTCCTTATACATGTGAGTGCATGCATGTTTGTATGTATCGGTATATACATATGTTATGGTCGGTTATAGAAAATATTGCCTAAAAAGGGCTCGAATCCATATGACCTCGTATTGAAACCAATTGTGTAACCTTTTTATATTGTATACCAACAAAAACAAATCGTAAAAAAATAGTAAAATAATCATAATTTAGTTTATATGTATAAGTCATGCTGTTTTATATCAAATATTAATATACTATATATGCTTTAACTGTTGAAACAAAATTAAATTTCCTTAACAGCACTAAGTTAAGTTTAGCCAGTGTTATTTCTTGTAAAATTAGAAAATTAGTGCAACTAGTTTTGTTGTAATATGTCGAATTTTATGTATGTATATAAACGAGATTTAGCAACACATAACAGAAAAGAAAATTGCATATTTTTAGGCGCACAATTATTTAGAGAGTTTCTGAGCCAGACTGCATCTTGCAAACTCACTAAATTTTAACTCTTCATGTTATTACATGCACGTTTTGCGGTATTTAAATATTGTGTTTATTTCATAAACTTATTCTACTTTAATTCCTTATATCAACATCCGTAAAATTCCCCACAACAATCAACTATTAACACCTATTTTAAGGTATGACCATTGTTAAAGGCGGAATTGGAAATTGTTAAATTAACAACGGTCTCGTGTTGTTGTTAGCAATGTAAACTTGTACCTACTTACACATAAACAATCAATAAGCATAGTAAACATTTATTAGGGGGCTGAAGAAGTTGCGAAGTGTTCAAGCAATACTAACAACTACGACGGTAATTATAGTGCTTTAACAGACTCATAAGCTTATTTGTTCAAAAATATTTATGGAGTCTATAAGAAAAGCTACATTCGAACCATTGACCTGTAAATGTAAATCGAAGAACTAAAAATGAAGGAAAAAGGGTTGCAGGCGAGTTAGTTCAAAGCTAGTTAAGCTTTAACTAATTTACAAAAATATATTTTATATTTGCATACATACATATATACATATACATATGTGCGTACCATTGATGAATTGTAATGGTATGAAACGCGTTGAGGCAGTTAAACTTTTTACTTATGTATCTTTAATACTAATTTGTGCAATAAAAAACTAAAATGATAATCAAGAAATTAAAATTAAAATTGTAATGTGTTTTTTAATGGCCGAAAGGGCGAAACTTAAACGGTGATTTAAAGTTAAATAGTGAGGCAAATTACAGTTGTTTTACTTAAATATTCCGAAAAAATCTACTTTTGTTTTGAATTTTTATTAAAAATTTACAAGCTATAACTGTAATTGGGCTGGCGGCACAAATTTTCAAATAATCAGATGTTAGGAAAACAAAAATGATTGATAAATACTAAGAAATAATTAAATATTATGAAACAATTTTTCATTATTTGTCGCCAGAACAGAAAAACCACAGCACTGGAAGCCATGAAATTGACACAGGTGTTATTTTAGTCCAGCATAAAAAAATATACCGTTGATTTTGCAATATATTATATGTAATTGTATATTTTTAACTTAAGAACGGCTAAACCGATTTGAGCGTGGGCATAGGATACTTTTTATTGTTTTATGTTAAAAGTCAGATCAAAAGTTAAATATTCATGTAAGAATCATTTAAATATGTTTTTGCTTAAAAAAAAAAAAAAATAATAACTTCGCAAAGCTACTGCCAGCGGGCAGTAATTTTGTACGGTTCCCACGACAATCGAGTCTACGCAACTGGAACGGACCTGGACTTTTATCCGGCCAAGGACTGTCAGTAAATTTTGTTTCTACATATACATATGTATGTGGATTGTTGTTGTTAGTCTCCGGATCGAAAAGCCGCCAACCAGATCGATCATGTTGTGATAGACAGAAGACACGTCTCCAGTGTTTTAGACGTGCATACGCTCCGAGGTTCTAACATCGACTCGGACAACTATCTTGTTGCAGCCAAGATTCGCACCCACCCCTGTGCAGCAAAAAATGCACGCCATCAAACACAAGGCAGGTTCGACGTCGAGAAGCTGCAATCACAATAGACAGCCGAACGGTTTTCTACTCGGCTTGCACTCCTGCTCTTTGAGAGCACTCGTCAACAACTCGGTATAAGGGAACTGTGGGACGGCATTTCAAACTCCTTACGTACAGTTGCAACCGAAACCATTGGATTTCGGAAAGTGCAAAAGAACAGCGAGGAGTGCCGTGTCGCAGCGGAGAGAAAACAGACTGCTTACCTCGCAACGTTTCGATCGACCACCACACGCGCCGGATGGTATAGATATCGAAAACTAAAGAGGAAAGCGAGAGGCATTTGTAGACAGAAAGAGAGAGAGAGACCGAAATGCCGACAAGAGTAATGCTCGAAAATTCTACGAAAAAGTGCGGCGACTAACAGATAGTTTCAAGACCGGAGCATACTCTTGTAGAACCCAAGGAGGTGATCTAGTATCCGAAACCCACTAAATTATGGAGAGAAAACTTCTCCAGCCTGCTGAATGACAGTGAAAGCATAACGCCAGGAGAAGGCGAACCCGACCGGACCATGAAGGAGTTCGATTGCCAATTTCCCGTTCGAAGAACAACAAAGCGGCGGGGCCCCATGGATTTGCCGCCGAGCTATCCAAACACAACGGCGAAGAACTGATAAGGAACATGCATCAGCTTCTTTGTAAAATGTGTTCGGACGAAAGCATGCCGAACGATTGGAATGCAAGTGTACTCTGCCCAATCCACAATAAACGAGACCACACAATCTGCGCAAACTACCGTGGGATAAATCTCCTAAACATCACATATAAGGTTCTATCGGCTCAGCTCGTCATACTGATTATTTAGATATACATTTTATAGAATATCTGCGGTTTCCTACTGGGTGTTAAAAACATCTTTGCAAACTTAATATATCCCGTTCACGATATGAAAAAAAAACACATACAGTTTCTTACTACTTGTACTTGTATTTCACGAAACTAATGTAAATCGACTCTCAAAGGATCGATGTTTGATAGTTGAGTTTACCACTTTTCGTCCATTTCGTCGAAGGAACTCATTAAAACTGATGTACTATTAACATGCACGCTATTGTTTATAAATAAATAACCATCTCTTTATTTCTTGTGAAAAAGTATAAAATAAATAAAAACTTGTATTTCCGCTTTATGTTAGTTCTTAAGTGCTATCGCAAATCATACATAACAACAAATTAAGTTTTGTACAAAAATTATATAAAAATATTTTACAAAAATTTGGCTATTCCTGCTTTGCACGTTTTTATAATTTTATTTATTATAAATAAAATATTCCAAAGCCTGACACTCAGCTCCTACTTTAGAATCCTTCTTTGGCCGCTCTAAAGCGATATTTGTCATTGCTGCCTGCCAAGCAGGGCACTTGCACCAGATTGAAGTAGATTGAGCCCATCAGTTGCGCCGCCGACGTGTTGGCACTTTTGAGACATGAGTACAGCATATCGTCGCATATGCAATGAGATCTGTCGGAATAATAACGATGTAGTATATATGTATATATATATAGCATATGCTTATGGAGGTAGATATATTTACATATGAATTTCATTTACACAAACTCACTTTGTATACAAGGAGTCATTCATCAGCTCGTATTTGTTTTGATAGGCACGTATCTTCACCGGGCACAGATCGTGAAGGCGACAGCATCGATCCATATCCATTTCAGTGCCCAAATCGCTGTAGGTCTCCGCAATGTCGCCGGTGCCACACCACTTTGTGCCTGTGGAATAATAAATTTTATTTTACTCGTTGTACTCACTACGATCGGCACTCGCTTGAAATAGTCAAAGGCTAGCTACAATTATGGAGATCGCGTACGTCATACTTGGGTAATAATTGATATGGCATGCATTAACCTCCATTAGTTGTTGTTATTGTTGTGTGTGTGTGCTTTAATTACTTACCCGGTATGATGCCGCTCAACAATGAAAATGGACTTTTCGGAAATATATTTGCCGCCAAATTGGAAGCACCATTATTTGCGGGACTGTCGTTGCTCGCTCTGACATCTATAGACTTGCCGCGATTGCGCGAAGCATATGTCAGCTTGTCGACACGCTCACATTGGTTCATGAGTTTCAGCATTTCCTCGAATGTTATTCGCAGCGGCCGATTGTATTTGGAAAGTCCTTCGAGTAAAGTTTTTCCATCGCTTTCATTGCTGGTTTGGGAGATTAAGAAAGATACAAGTTTATTTGCATACATTTTCAATTATATTTATTATTGAAATGCATTGAGGGGTACGGAAATACTTGTTGTATCCCTGCTCTCAGCATTTAAAGCCAACGGGTCCCTAATAACCGAGAAGTTAAAAAAACTATTTATGTATTTTACAACTGAATCACCAACGAGTCAGCCGATTGTCTTACAGGGTGATTGGCTCACTTTGGTTTAAACATTTATAAGAGTACCAACTAGATATCATATCCAGTATCAGATCATAGTAGAATCTCTGAGCCAATTACATAATTGTCAAAAGGTTGATGTTTGTCAGTTTAGTTAGGTTTCAGACAGAAATTTTGGTTGTATAAGGTAATCCATTTCGAGGTTCCATACATTTCTAAAGAAAAAACACATAAACTTCAAATTCAATGGGGAATGTTTATCATCATTCGAAAGGTCATTCTTTGGCATTTCTTTTTTAGCATTATCTTTTTCAAATGTTGGCCGCGGCAGCTCTTGAAATGGGCAGAAATGAGCCTTATCGGTAAGCTAATTTGATTCGAAAACATAGGATCTTGAAACTTTTCATGAGTCCATAGAGCGAAGCGACGTCGCTTGGGAAGGTCAAGCGGCTTCTTGCGCAAGCTGTATTTTGTACGCTTTCAATTTAAGATCTTGACCAAAAGTGCACTAAATTGCTCCATAAGTCAGTCCGACGTCGAGATGTTTCTTTACAAAGAGACATTCTACTAATATACTATATCTAAATTCTTTATTTTTAGTTTATTTCTTATAAAATATTCGGACAGGAAACATTTTTTAGCAACATAATTCTTTAAGCAAATAAATAAGATTTTTTATCAAATATTATAAAATATTAATTAATAGACGTCACGCGATTTTATTCGCTCGTAAAAAACAATTGTGAAGTGAGAACAAAAAACAATTATTTTGGATTTCAATAAAATTTCTATTGAACTAATAATTAAGCAGAAAAAACGGGTTTACTTAGGTTCCACCGAAGCTATAATACCCTTCACAAGTACAAAAGATTCTGAACACGAACTATACTAGTTATACATATATTACTACTACTACTACTACTATGTATCTGAATAATTTCTCCGGATTTGCTTATTTATATTTATAGTTTATAAGGTCTCAGACTTTTCCTTTTAGAGTTATATATACCGTGTTCAGAGTATAAAATTATATCATATGTAAGTGTACAGTAGTTTTTAAAATAAGAAAGGAAAATATTCCGTCTACTGGAATAAGAATTGCATCATTATAAATTATGGAATGTGTAGTATGTTATTTCGTATGATCTATTCGCCTCAAACATAACCTATTTTAAGGGGTTACGTGGGTTTGCGAGTTTCAAAAAATCCAATGTTTTTTGTTATTTTATTAAATTCTACAATATCTCTAGAGTATTGTCTTAAATCTTCAAGTTCATCCGAGTAATAGTTTCGGAGATACAGACTTGAGAACTTGTGCGCTCGAGGCTAGCTGGGCTGTCTTTAAATGCATTTTTCTCGAAACTTTGTTTTTGAAGTCGGTTGGCAAGATTTCTGGAAAACTACTCAACCCATCTTCATGAAATTTTACGCGGGTCTTTGAGTACAATTCTTAAAGACTTGGTAGAAGGATTTTTTTTAATTATAGCTATTTGAAAAAAAAATGTCGCGAAATTTTCACTGAAATTTTCATATTTTTGTGAAAAGGTCTGTCAAAAATCCAATTCTCAGCTTTTTTTCCTTGGTCTAATTTCTAAGTTAAGGCTTTAACCAAAACATGTATTTTTCACTTTAGATGATCTTGTAAGGAGTTATCCTGCCAACGCGCGCACATTTTTTTTCCGAGAGGTCATCGGTAATGACATCGGAGGAAACCCATGTAATCTCTTAATGAAAGTAAGTAGAAGCAAAACATATTAGATTAGCGCTGTA